TGCCTTAGAAGAGGTGGAATCCTCGTAGGGAGCTAAAAAAATGAGGGATACCAGTTACAAGACAACCCAGCAACCCGAATGATTCCCGGTGATCTGTGGGAAGCCATTGCCTTACTTTCTATGTCATGGAATGATTTCTGAACCCAGCGTGAGAAAATTATAGTGGTCACAAGGCCAGATAGGGGGGGATATAAATAAAATAAATAAATAGTGAGAAAAGAGAAACATAAGAAAAAGCCAACGGAAAAGCTCACCCCCCCCCACACACACACACACTCCGGCTCTCCAGGGTCCTTTCCTGCCCCTTCTCGGCTGGGACGGAATTCGGTCAGTCGTGCCTGATGGAGCGGCGATGGGGCCAAGAGATGGAGGGTGATCGATGACCCTCCTCCTCCTGTGCCCTCAAGTCACTGCTGACTGAGGCGACCCTATTTCAGGGCTTTCCAGGCAGGGGAGACCCAGGAGAGGTTTTCCCCTTCCCTCGTTCGGAAAGGGGTCACGGGGCTGCTTCTGGCCCCCCCCCCAAGGCCACCCGGGCTGGCACTTTTCCCACAGAGAGGGAATCGAACTCCCAACCTCTGGGCTCTGCAGGCGGAGACCTAAACCGTGGATCTTTTTCAGCCGATGGATGGAAGAAGGGAGAGCCGAAGGCCATCATCCGTGTGTTTGTGTGTGTGTGTGTGTGTGACGTGGATCTCTTCCAGCCGATGGATGGAAGAAGGGAGAGCCCAAGGCCATCATCCGTGTGTTCGTGTGTGTGTCTGTGTGTGTGTGTGTCTCCTTTTTTTGGTCTTGGCCGCAGCTGGATTTGAAAGGAGCGGCGCAGAAGGCCGAGGGGCCCCATCCACCTCCTTTTTTTTTGGTCTTGGCTGCAGCTGGATTTGAAAGGCGCGGCGCAGAAGGCCGAGGGGCCCCATCCACTCAGATGTTGCTCCAGAAGGAAGACATCAGCCTGATGCCGGAGCCCCTGCAGCCACGTGGGGCCCCCTCCTCCTCCTCCCTTTGAGGAGACCAGGGAAGAGCGGGTCAGACCGGTAGCTGAGGATAATGGGAGTTGTAATCCCACACAGCAAGAATTGCCAGGGTTGGGGAGAGGCCGGACGGGTGCTTCCTAGATTGCTCCCCACCAGTTCAGGCCCACCGTGTGCTACGGGCTTCCCTTTGGGCGCCTTTCGGCCTCTTCCTGATCAAAACCAGATTCTGTTTTATTTTAATTTTATTTTCCAGTTCTTGGGCCCAGTCGGTTCCCAGGCTCCTCCGCCATCTGCAGGTAAGCAGTGGAGCGTGAAAGGACCTCAGCGCTTTCTCGGCTGAAGAATAAATCGGTTCCAAACTTGTTGCTGATTTATTTTTATTTTTTCTTCTTCTTTTTAAAGTTCACGGGTGTGTGTGTGTGTGTGTGTGTGTGTGACTGACTGACCGTGGGGGAGGGGGGAGGAGTGACCAACGGCCAAGCAGGTAAATGACACTGTCGGAAGTGGGCAGAAACATGGATCCGCTTGGCTAGATGAAGCCGAGGTAGCCTTTGCAGCTTTTTGCACCAGGGAGGAAGATAATGAGAAATCAAGAGCCTAAAAACATTCTTTTCTAGAAGCCAAGATCTGGGACCGACTTTGTGCGGGCCTCTGCTGCCCTCTGGTGGTAGCGAAGGGAAAGGTTTCTTTCGCCCATACGCAGACAAAATGGTGAGTCCGCTTCCGGATTTCACAGCACTCTTCCTCAGGCTGGTCAATACCCTATCCGGGAAGTAGCAGCCAAAGAAGAAGTAGGGACGTTCAACATTCATCCTATCCTGATGTCATCCCAGCCATGGGAACTGCACTTAGTTAAATTCCAAAAGAAAGCCTTCCATTTTGAGAGCCAGCTTGAGCTGCAAGGATTCTCAAATTGCATCCTGGAGGGTTTAGAAACCATCGAGCATCTGTTTCGCTGTAGACCCGGGCCTCGTTCTTGGCTTTTGTTAAACGGGCACGGCCCCTACAAAAGCAGCATAGAGCAGAGGCACACAGTAACATGGCAATCCTTATATATCTGTGATAAATAACATGGCAATCCTTATACTGTACTGTATATCCAGTCTTTAGATAGATAGATAGATAGATAGATAGATAGATAGATAGATAGATAGATAAGGATCACCATGTTATTTATCACAGGTATATAAGGATTGCCATGTTACTCTGTGCCTCTGCTCTATGGTGTTATACCCAGTCTTTATATTTATAAAGAGATAGATATAAATATATATTCTGTATTTATATAAATAAAGAGAGTGAAAGAGACGAGACTGGGTCTTTATATCTCCCTCTCTATATAACTATCTATATTTATCTCTTTATATAAATAAAGCCAAGGTCTTTAGTACTGCTTGTGTTTACCATCTCTCAGAGCGGTATTTTTTTTTTCTCCTTTTCAATACATATTTGCAGACTTGTTGCTTTGAACATTCTTTTCATGATGTAAAAAACCACCCTAGTATGCTCGTGGTTTTCCGTGTTGTCTTTCAGTTCTGTAAGCCGCCTCGAGTCCTTTGGAAGGATGGCAGGGAGCGCCCCATCCATTCCCGCACCACCCAACCCGTGTCTCTTTTCCAAGGTCTGAACAAGGTCTTCCTCAGAGTGAAACGTGAGCTGCAGCGAGAAGAACCAGAGTGGGTGTTGAAAAAGAAAAAAAAGCTTTATTGGACTACAACTCCCAGCAAGCTGGCTGGAGGATGCTGGGCGTTGTAGTCCAACAAGGCTGCTCGCCCCTGGTAATGAATGAAAGAATGGAGGGAGAAAGGACGGAGCGATGGACGGGTTGCTCCCAAAGGGGGCGCCCTGGCCGTGCTGAACCGCGCGGGGGCGCTCTGTGCATGCTCAGAGGCCCCGATGACGCGGTGGGCGCCTCCTCCTCCTCCTCCTCCTCTCCCCCCCGGCGGGAGCTCCGCCTTAACGAGCAGGAGAGCCGCGCTTCTTCCGAGGCCGCGGAGAGGAAGCGGCTGCCGGGGGTGAGTCGGAGAGATCGGGCGGCCCGGGGATGGGGCAGGAGGGAGGCAGGCAGGCAGAAGGGATCCTGGCTTTGCACCCCATTTTCTTCCCCCCCAAAAAAAACTCAGTGCAGGATGAGCGCCCAGCAGGCGAGAAAAGATACTCCCCCCGCACCTCCAAAAAAAAAAGACACGTGTTTG